GCCCCCCCACCTTTGGGTGCTGTGGGGGGTGGGGGGGGGGGGGGCACGCACGAGCCGGGGTGCAAGAATAGCTTGGGCCGGCCCTGGTCACTCGGCGGGCGCACATAAATGCCCTGGCGGGTGCCATGGTACCCACGGGCACCACTGCTTTACAACAATGGCAGCCTATTTATGTTGTATTCTAGTAGTTTTTACACCAGTGCAAGATGGGCACTTGTACTAGATCTCCTGAAATCACGATACTCATGCAGCCTCAGGATTGGTTTCTCATCTAGTGTGCCTGTAAGCGACTAGTCAACTGTCCAATAAGCAAATGCTTATCGGACAGTCGACTAGTGCCTGGACTAGTCACTTCCCCCGCCCCCACCTTGCTGCCTGGAGTCAGCTTAAAAGCCAGTGGTGGCACCTTTGAAATGTAGCAAGAGTGGGACTTGCTACATTTCAAAAGCAGAAGCGCTACAGGGAGGTTGGGGTGAGCTGGGGACTCTAGCAGCCCCCACTGACCCCATGCTCCTGGTGCTTTGCTTTTGAAATGGACAAGAGCCCTCACAGGGCGTCTTGCACATTTCAGAAGCAGGGAGCACGGGGCCAGCAGGGGACTGCTTGAGACCCCGCTGGATGCTCCCGCCTTTGAAATGTAGCAAGAGCCCTGCTGGAGGAGACACCCTTATCGACTAATCGAACATTCGATGCAAATTACATCAACTATTCCATTAGTTGATTCCTCTACCTTTAACATCCTTAGTACTGCTAAGCCTCTTCTATGTCTTAACAGCTTGCAAAATAATGCATCCTGTGGTTGATACACCTAATTGAGGCTGGTACGGGCCTCTCTGTTTTGGTGCATAATCCGCTACTAATTGGATTTCCATTTAAAAATTAACTCAATTTGTTCAAATGCCTATTGCCATTGGCCGCTCTCAGTTCTACTCAACCTTCCCCTAGTCTGAGGGAACAACACAGGAGACTAATGGAGAGCAGATGTGGATGCTCAGAGAACTCACTACATCCTGTTTCGCTTTTGGCCAAACCAGGATTGTCCTGCCAGGCTCCCTCCTGCCAGCCACTCACATGATCTTATTGTACGGTGCATACGTACACATGTGTGATCAATACAATGGGTTTAGCCTGACACCAGGACAAGCTGGAACTGGAAGTACAATGCAACCTATTGTCTCAGCCTTCAACGTGGCTATTTTTCTGCTATCACATGACAGCAACCGTGCCACCTTGGGCTTTAATCTAAAGTGGAATTAGTTGTGTCTAGATTGACAAAAGCAGCCTGCATGTTTTTGAGGCTGTTGAAATGTACATGGGTGAGCAAAGAACCCCAGGCACTGTACCTGACTAGGCTATTGCTAATAACCCAGTATAGTAGGAAGGGATGCTGGAGATGGCAGTGAAAAGATGAACCAGGAAAAAGTAATGGAATGTTATTACCCCCCTTTGGAACACTAATCACTTCAGTTTAATGTGTCTGGAAAAACTCCTCCTCCAGTGCTGCTGCAGAACCACAGGTGGAGTGTTCACAAGCACTGGTCAAGGTTCAGACGTGTTTGCAAACACCTGAATCGATGCCTGCATGCTACCACTACTTAATGCTGTGTGAATGGCCTACAGCCCTCCTCCATGAATGAGTGGGTTCCAGTTACTGGCTCTGCTCCAGCCATGTTGTTGGACCTTGGCACCCTTCCTTGTGTAAAATGATACCAGGTGCATTATCGTGGTGTTGGAAAAGGTTTGGAAAAGGGCAACAAAAATGAGGGGGTTGGAATGGGTGTCATACACAGAGAGATGAAAAAGACTGGGATTTTTCAGCCTAGAAAAGAGGAGACTAAGGGGGGCATATGATAGAGGTCTATAAAATCATGACAGATATGGAGAAAGTGAAAAAGGAAACATTATTTACTTATTCCCATAATGTAAGAACTAGAAGGCACCAAATGAAATGAATAGGTAGCAGGTTTAAAACAGACTAAAGGAAGTATTTCCTCATGCTGCAAATAGTCAACCTGTGGAACTCCTTGCTAGAGGATGTTGTAAAGGCCAGGATTTTAACAGGGTTCAAAAAAGAACTAGAAACATTCGTGGAGGATAGGCCCATCAATGGTGACTAGCCAGGATGGGCAGGCATAGGCTATGTCTACACTTGTGCAAGTAATATGTAAATGAGGCTAAGTGTGGAATATCACGGAGCCTCATTTGCATAGCTTACGAGCCACCATTTTTGCAGAAGAAGCTCTTGCGCCAGAAGGAGCTGTCTACACTGCCCCTTCTTGCGCAACAAAAACTCTCTTGCGCAATGCCATTACGCTATTTTCAGAAATAATGGCATTGCGCAAGACAGGTTTTCTTGCGCAAGAAGGGGCAGTGTAGACAGCTCTTTCTGGCACAAGAGCCTCTTCTGCAAAAATGGTGGCTCATTAGCTATGCAAATGAGGCACCACAATATTCCATGCTTAGCCTCATTTGCATATTACTCACACAAGAAGCTGAGAGTGTAGACATAGCCACAGTGTTGCTAGCCTCGGTTTTGTCAGAGGCTGGGAATGGGTGACAGGGGGATTACTAGATTTCCTGTTCTGTTTACTCCCTCTGGGGCACCTGGCATTGGAAGACAGGTCACAGGGCCAGATGGACCTTTGGTCTGATCCAGTCCGGCCGTTCTTATGAAGGGTGCAGGTACTATGATGTTTGGGGTGGGAGTAGCCAGCAGTGGGCTGGGTGGTGCTAGGCATTGCACACCTGGGCTATGTCTACACTCGAGTAATATGCAAATGAGGCTAAGTGTGGAATATCGCTGAGCCTCATTTGCATACCTAATGAGCCATCATTTTTTTCAGAGGAGGCTCTTGCGCAAGAAGGCGCGTCTACGCTGCTCCTTCTTGCGCAAGAAAAACCCTCTTGTGCAACGCCGTTACACCTATTACTTTTCAGGAAGAACGGCATTGCACTAGAGGGGTTTTCTCGCGCAAGAAGGGGCCGTGTAGACGCTCCTTCTTGCACAAGAGCCTCTTCTGAAAAAAATGGTGGCTCATTAGGTATGCAAATAAGGCTGGGCAATATTCCACACTTAGCCTCATTTGCATATTACTCGTGCAAGAAGCCCTGGAGCTGTTGTTGCCTCTTTCCAAGTGCTACAGTTCTTTTGTGTGGATAATTATGGGCTTCAGTATGTACCTCTTTTCAACTGCTCTGCAAGCTATCACAGTGAGGAAACATAGCTAGGGAGCCAGCCTTCACTTACTGTAAAACACGATCAGGAAAGAACAGCATGTTCTGGCTGTAGTACAGGGAGCAGCACTGAGCAGAAAAGCCTAGTCCAGGTTCTGCCTGAATAGCATCGCTTAAGCCTAGAGTTAATAACCTTACACAGCACCACTTCTGCCCAATGCTACAGGAAGAAGGGGTAGCCCCTGCCCGCTCAGCACAGTAAACAGGTTCATTTCAGCTCTCACCAGAGCGGGGTCAACCTACGGTTGCTGTTTGCCGCCTGCACAAGATGTCAACTTTGCTTAAAAGTCGAGCTGGCTGCTGTTCTCTGATCGTAACCATAGCCAGCGCTGCTATTTCAAGCATAAGTTAGGGACAGATTTTGGCAGAAGAGACTCAAATTTGCAGGCCAAACACACAATGGCATCTGCTCAACTCAGTGTGCATTTTGAGCAAGTTAGTAAGGCTCAGAGCTGCTTGCTAAGATCAGACAGCGATCAATAGCTCCCTACTGTTGTCTTTATTTAGCGGGCAGACACCCTTCTCTGCTTTTGACTACTTGCTAATGGCACAGCCTATATTCTGCTGGGCAAGTCTTACCACTGTCCCAGGTGTAGCTTGCCCCAAGACTCCAAGTCACTGTAGATCCCACAGCAATAGGTTTATTTTACACCGACCAAGTTCCAAGACAGTATATACACACAGCTTCATATACACACTTCTGTACACTAGAGAATACGCAAATGACTGGAGCTTCAGCACACCTGCATCATCATGGAAGTCACCATACTGTCGAAGGCCCTACAGAAGATAGAGCACAAAATATTAAAGACAGACAGTCCACCCAATGGGATCCTTGTACAAAGAAGCTCTTCAGTTAGTAGGCAAGACAGTCCATCAAAAAACACTTAAATAGAAGTTAACTTCCCACAGGCTTGAATATAAATAGTTCATTCCTTTCCACTGAGGTGCTGAATTTCACAATTACTTTCCTTCTAATAAAGCTAAAGTAGTCCTGGTTCATCGTCATTGTTCTTGCGGAAATTCAAGTGGCCACTGTAGACAGCTGGCAAGTTTTTCCTTTTGCGGAAAAACTTGCCAGCTGTCTACACCGGCCGCTTGAATTTCCGCAAGAACACTGACTTCCTACTGTCTGAAATCAGGGCTTCTTGCGGAAATGCTATGCTGCTCCCGTTCAGGCAAAAGCCCTCTTGCGCAAATGCTTTTGCGCAAGAGGGCCAGTGTAGACAACGCGGCATTGTTTTGCGCAAAAAAGCCCCGATGGCGAAAATGGCAATTGGGGCTTTCTTGCACAAAACCGTGTGTAGATTGGCACGGACGCTTTTCCGCAAAAAGTGCTTTTGCGGAAAAGCGTCCATGCCAATCTAGACGCTCTTTTCTGCAAATGCTTTTAACGGAAAACTTTTCCATTAAAAGCATTTGCGGAAAATCATGCCAGTCTAGACGCAGCCTGTCTGAAGATCAGCCATTTCAGTGGCAGAAATATAGACTCTTTTTTCTCATGGAGTGGGGGCACACTCATAGGTTCCACAAAAAGATACTGAATATGAAGTGATAGGTCCTACGCTGTCAACTATTTTGAGAACTGTGCATTTTGGAAACAGTTTCCTAATCCTTACTCCTCTCCAGAGGCTGAATTTTGGAAAGCTACAGCCTACGTAGAGGGGTCCAGTGGACAAGGCTGTTGATGAAGTACTCAAAAAGAAAAATGTAAGTGAGCTCTATAGGTAACATTTTTTAAAGTAATCTTAGGTTTCTGTATCAGTTCACGGCACTGGCAGTAAGTGTGAGGTCTGTGGGAGACAGTTAAATGTATCCTCTAATGCAAACAGTGCAGTTGTTACATTTTCCCTTGTTTGGCCATAGTCCAGAGAGAATACAGCTGTGTGTTTTTAGAGAGGAGTTTACAGCTCCCAGCTTTAAACTGATCACCCACAGAAGTTACTTTCTTAAGAGCTAAATCCTAAGAACTCTGCATGTCCCGGAAAGGCAACAAAATCAAAAGGATTAGTGGAAGCAACTCACTCACCTGGAATTAATGCAGTCCCCAGGGTTATAAAAGGGGTTGCACATTACATCTGTGTATGAATTATGCAGCTTGCGGAACATCTGAAAAAGGATCACGGCTTGCTTTTAATTAAGACCTAGAAAATTACTGCTGGGGGTGAGGGTTTTTTTTTGGAGGGAGGGCATGTCTCAGCATTTTATGAATAAGTAGGAGCAAAAAAATACTGATCTGGGAAGTTGCAGTCTGATTTCCTGAACTTACGCTGCGGATCTCATTGTCTCGTAGTGCTGTGTTTGAAGAATCTACCACCATAACAAACTTCACCTTGGAGTTTGTCACATAGCCATATCTGGGCAGCTGGTTAAGGAACATGAGGTTTTTTACACCAAGTGCCTGGAAAAACTACTCAAATAAGCTTGAGTACTGTCAAAAGCCTCCAGCCTGACAACTGTGGAGAAATCCCTGTAATATTATCACTCATATAACTTTGTATTAAGATCTTGTCCTTTTAGATATATCTTTAAGTGTTCTTATAGAATCTCTGTAACATTTCTCCTATAACTTTGCATTAAGAGAAACTTTTCTTGTAAGAAAAAAAAATGTCTTTTGAGCTCTCCCCTTTCCATGATTGTCCTGTTGAAATGAATGAGGTGTGCATGGAGAATGAAAGGTGAGCACCTCCAGCAACAGTTAAAAGGGTGGAGAAGGTCTGGGAGCCAGATCCAAGCCAATACCTGTTAAGTGAGCTCTTTAAGACAACTGGACATACAGATGCCTTGGGAGTCAAGCAGCAAGTGCCTGCCCTTGGAAGAACTCTTTGAAGCAGCATTAAGAAAGGCAAGGTGATGACTAATTGGCTGCATGAGAGGGATAAATAGAAGGCATCTTGCAGAGGGACCCGGGTTTTCCTCTTGTCAACATGGGAGCATCGATCCGGATCTGCAGAAGCCCAGCTCCACCCCTCCCCCATCTAACTCACCTGGTCAGTGCAGTTAGGGGGAGCAACTTTTGGTAACAACAAGACGGTCAGGGTGTGTGTGTGTGTATGTGTATGCGTGAGTGTAATGTATCATATGCATATGATAAATATTGATTGATCTATGTATGGTCAATACATGTGGCGTGCTGCCTTATGCCCCTGAAAAAGATCCCGGGTGCTTCTTTTAAGCAACTCTGAGGGAAAGTTAGTCCCCAGTCCTCCCGGGGGGGGGGGGGGTTTGAATGGAGCTGGGCCATGACCATTATCAAAATTCATTAAGTAGCCTCCCTGCAAAAATTATTGCCCACCCCGAACTAATTGCTCTGTGTGAACAGACTAATGCATGTTGCCACACTGACTTCAATGTATCTTCAAAAAAGTAGTGGTGACCTGTGCAGTGCAGCTTGCAGGACTAGGGCCAAGCTAAGAATATATAAACTCATATGTACATTGCTCACCTGTATGGATGCTGACTATTCAATGCCAATCCCCGCTTAATGATCACTATTGGTATAAACTCAATATTTAAGATTTCTTAAAAAAATTAAAATGCGAGACTAGATTGATGCTCAGCTGCTGTGTATCAGCATATTCCACTGAAGTCATTGGAACTTACTGATTCACACCAGCCAAGGTTCTAACCCCGTATGATTTTCACCTTTTGCAACAGCCATTGGCTAATTACAGTAGATCCTCAGAATTACCAACACCAGGGTTATAAACTGATCAGTCAACAAAACACCTCATTTGGAACCAGAAGTATGCAATCACGAGCAGCAGAGACTGGAGAGGAAAAAAAGCAAATGCACTACCATACTGTGTTAAGTGTAAACTACTAATAAAATCTAAAGTTAAAAAAGATTTGACAAAGTGAGGATTGTAAACTTCAGAGAGAACAACTGTTACCTCCCAAGGTGCTCACAACTCTGAGGGTCCACTATACATTCCTTGTATAACTGCCAGCAAAAGGGATGACTTTTCCATGTATATGTTCCACTTTGAGGTTCTGCTTGTGTTTCAAACAGTTTAAAAAGCAATGTTTTTCATTGGGCTTTTCCCCTAATGGAGGAAACATTTCTACTAGTTAGTCTTAAGTTTCCAAAATACTGTTTTTCACAAAACTTAAATTGACAACAACCCTTAAGTACACACATTCTCAGGTTGTTTTGGTCAAATGAAAGTACCAAAATCTCTGAGATGTATGTATGCAAATCCACAGCACCCCTGACTATTAAAAATCAAGCTGCACTTGGTGGTTCTCTCACAACATAGAATTTGGAGCTGCAGTATGAAATGAGAACACGAGTAAATTTTAGAACTGGGAAGAGAGATCCATTTAAAACCTAATCCTACATTCGTTGCTTACTGAAATAACTGGGAGTTTTGCCTGAAAGACAGATTGTAGGAAAAATGTCCTTTTGTGCACACCTGGCAGACATTAAAGATACACTTTGTAGTCTTCAGTTGGGTACAGAAGACCGAGGTAGAGCTCTCTCTGATCCACAAGAGCCTTCCCCATGGCAGAGATCTTTTCATCCACAACATCAAGTGATGTGTGCACTGTGTAATGGAACTTCAGTTCATTTTCTGTTGGGATGCTTCGGATGTACAGAGGATAGTTCTAGAAAGGATGACGACAAATTGTGTTAACTCAGGCTCTCTATTCTGTGCCCTAATAGATACTGGAATGTACCTGTAGTGCTCTGAGTATGTAAGCCACTATTGTTATTTAAAAACTAGCTATTTTAAACCCACAAATTCTATTTAAAGGTATTGTAGAAATCCACTGGACTACACTTGTACATCACAACATGTATTTAAACAGCAGATCTTAACACAGTCTGCAGAGAAGGACTATAACTAGGTTTACATTTCCTCTTAACACAAAGGTAATGAGTGTCCCCCCCCCTCCCCAGAGATTGTCCACAGCTCATTTGATCATCAGCATTTGTCCTTCTGGAAGAAAGTCCCTAAAGGGCTCTCCCAGAGCAACCAAAACCTGGGGCTTCCCAACCCCTGTTCTACCAACCCCTTAT